TGTGTTTAGAAGAGTGAAGTCTCCAGTATGAAAATTTCACAAGAATGGGAATGGTATATAGAAGAATTGGCTAGGTTCTTTTGAAAAACCTTAAGAAGGAACTCATCAACTAGGCGCACAAGAGAGGGAGAGAATTAGTGTATCAAATCAGAATTTTACTTTACTTATAATGAAAGTGGCGCACAAGTGAGTGAGACAAAGGTGGAGTTGTTGCAATTCAAAAATCCCAACAACCTCCCCTTTGAATCCTCATAAGACTAGGTCTTTATCTAGTCAAAATTCTGATCCAATGGTCATCATGACCACCAATTCATGCGCCCCTATTCAGCCCAAAAAGGGTCCAGATACATTTGAGCTGTTGCATTCAAGTTTGAACCAACTAGCTCACTGATTCTCTCAACAACCAAATCTGATTGGAGCTTGTTGGTTTGACAAGATGACAATCATCTCCCACCAAAATGGCGCCCCAAATCAGCCCTTGGAGATCTCCATAGATCTTCTCTTGATACAAGGGATTTGTTCCAACAAGATCTCATCTTATCCTTTTGTTATGAAACAACTTTTCATAGCCAATTCAAATTCGAATTCAAAACTTTAAATTCAAACGTTCAAACATTTAAATTCTCAATTCAAATTCAAATTTCAAATTCAAAATTCAAATTTCAAATTTCCAATTCAAAATTCGAATTTCAAAATTCAAATTCAAAATTCAAATTTCAAATTTCAAATTTCAAATTCAAAATTCAAAATTTAAATATTTGATAATTAATTTAACTAATTAAATTAATTAGTAATGTCTTGGACCATCCAAGCCCATTAACAATACCATGCGCCCTCTCCCTCTTAGGTGGGCTTCCAAACTTCATCTTGGGCTAACAACCATTATTAGGCCCAATACCTTTAATGCTATATCATCATGACATTAAGGTGTTAGTGTGTGATCCATTAGGTCCAACATAGCCACTGACATAAATGGGCTCGGGCCCAACAAGCCCACAACCCATTTAATGACAACACAGAGCACTAGCAATGCTTTGTTGCCCCAGAGCTAGTTAGATTAATGACTTGATCATCCTATTACACATATTTGGTTGCCGTATATATTTCCTTTCGTCTCGATTACCTTCCCATTAAACCTAGGGTAAGGAAACGTATCAACCCTTGTGGTTTAGGGTAAGCTTTATTCGAAATAGGGAATCTTCAATTTACAGACTCTAAAGATAGATCATCTCATGATCTCTTTTACTATGCATAGATTCTCGAGTCCCAGTAAATGTCATCCTGATTTCTCCAGTTTACAGATAACCTAATCTCTCACAGAGATTTGACGAATTCCTTCAGCTTATCACCCTAGCCCTGTGCTCTTTCAGGACAAGCCCAACAATGTACCTATGAGTCTCCATGTTTCAGGCAGACGAGGTATACAATCAAAGCATGCCTTCTATAACACAGTCTAAGTAATAACTTCTGGTCTAAGGAAAGACATACCCAAAGATAAAGAGACTACTCTAATGACACTATCTGTGAGATTTCCTCATAGAGTCTCTCGTGGGTCTGTTCAGTGCGAGCTATACCCTTATAGGTCCACCCACGACTTTAGCTAAGACATCTCCATATCTGTAGCACATGAGGTCTTTACCTTGTATCCAAATACAAGTTGATAAGTCGTGCTAGTCTTACCCGAGATCACTGATCCCCATTCTCAGTGTCTCTAGACTAGGAACATAAAATTAGGAATAAACATGCGGTATCCTAGAATCCTCATGATTGTGATCTCATCACAGATACTCAGGAGATACCTATTTTATTCCAAGGGGTTTATCCAGTTACTCATATAAAATATTAATAGTAATATTGAGACAAAATATGAAACAGGATAAATAGTGCTTTTATTTATTTGCGACAATACAAAGGTCCACATATGTCCTAATCTAATTAAAAGATTGTCTCTAGGACATCCATATACTAACAGGCCTTACTACATCTGCTCTCAAATGATCAAGTCTATGAATGCTTCTGATGCACTTCCCTATGCTAGTGCGATTATTGAGATTCTGCGTCATCAGCAAATCTTTGATGATAGTGAGGTTTTGTCTGATAACCTGCACAACTTTGGATTACATTTGCTGGCTCAGATGCAAATTAAGATAATTAATGGTATATGGTGTAAAGCAACTGCTACTCCTGAAGCCGGTGCAACCCCTGCTGATATTGCTGAGGACGATCCTCCACATGATCCTCCGGCTGCTGATCCTCATGCTGACTCCTCCTCCTCAGCAGATCATACCTTGGCTTCTATTCTCACTTCTCTTAATCGATTAAACACTACTGTGGAGTCGGGCTTTGCTTCTGTAAACTCCAGGCATGCTAATATGGAGTTACGTCTGAAGCGTATTGAGGATCATCTTCACATTCCTCCTCTTCCATCTCTACCACCATCGCCTCCACCTGACTCTGATGACTTTTAGTCCCTGATCTCTATTTTCTATGCTTTTGGACTCATATTATGCTTCTCTTTTGCTATGCTACTTTGGATATTTTGCTTCTCTAGGACTTTAGCTTTATGGACTATGGTTGATTAGATTGTGAACTATTATGCCCTTTGATGGATTATTACGCTTTCCTTCTTGCTTCTTGCATGGATTGTTTTACGGTTTCTATTTATCCACTTATGCTTTTTGATGTTGCTAAAGGGGGAGAAAGATACGTAAATTGAGAAAATCATAGGCATATATTAAGGTAAAAATGGGAGAATAAAATTTAAATATAAAAGGAAGAATTACATGACACCTAGATTTTCACCTTGTATATCAATCATATATTAAGGGGGAGTTTCAATACTATATTTGTCTAAATATATGCTATACTAATCATTTTCTCAATTTGAGTTTGTCATCATCAAAAAGGGGGAGATTGTGGAACCAATGCAAAGGTTCAATGATTTTGATGATAACAAACAAGCATGGAAAGAAAGCTTCAAGGTGCAACCATAAAAAAGAAGTCTAAACAAGATCAAGACTCAAGCTTCAAGAGAAGTCTCTAAGTCCAAGCAATCTCCAAGTAATATAGTATAGGACTTAGGTTCATTCGAAAAGGTAATTGATTCCTTACGTGAACGAAGCTCAAAGTATTTTTTGAAATACATGCATTAAATCATCGTTTGACATTCAAATACATTCCTAGCATGAAAATATAGTTTTCAATGATCATAAAATGTTTAAACAATATTTGAAACTAATGTGAATCAAGAGAAAATCATTTTAGGGCGAAATCCAACCTTTCAACAGGTTGGTAATCGATTACCCACTCAATAGTAATCGATTCCCTACTGTGCAGAAGACAAAATAATGGCTATAAAATGGCTAGTTTGCAAAAATTAGTGTAAAAAAGGCCATGAGGGCCCTCTATAAATAGAGACTATTGTTCACATTGATCGGACACACTTCTTGATCATTATTACTCATTAATTCTCATCCTATTTGCATTATTCTTGTCTTCTTGATCATAAATTCTATTTGAGCTTTATTCTTGTGAGAGTGTCATATACCATTATTCTTCAACTTGTGTTATTTGTACTTTGAGAGTACTTAGCTATTAATAAACACGTTCCTTTGATTTCTTGAGTAGTTAGGGGAGTGAACCCTATACACTTGAAAGGTCACCAAATTCTTAAAAAAATTTGGAGTGAAAATTTGTTAGGCATCAAGAGCCCGAAGTCTTGAAAGGTTGTAGTGGTTTGTCAAGCACCCTCAAGCTTGATAGTTAGTGAAAAGAATTGATCGGGCGGCTTCAGTCTGGACGTAGGTCACGGTGGTGGTGACCGAACCAGGATACATCTAGTTTGCAATTTCTCTAACTTTAAACTCTTTATTTAAGTATTGAAATTGCATTTTAGATTGTCTTTATATATTCGCTTGCTTATTTTGTTGATAACTACACTTGCTCTTACACTTAGATTTTTCCTTATTAAAATACTTTATTGAAGAAAGAGTCTTTAAAATATCAACGGAGGTACTTTGCGAAAAGATTTTGTAAAACTCAATTCACCCCCTCTTGAGTATTGAAGCCACTTGTCCAACAAAATGTCATCCAAGAATACCACACTTTTGATAGCATTCTAAGAATCCTGGGCAGTGGGAACATATCACAAGATTTTTCGGACAAAATTAACCCTACTGTGTTTTCGTGCTTGAATGTTTGAATGTTGTTTTTCTCTTTCTACTTTAGACATCTCCTCCCACTAATTTTCATTAGTTCTTGAATGCCGAAGCCCCGTGCTTTGCAAAGTGGGATTTGAAGCATTGCCGTTGAAATTAATGGGTGTAAAGACTTAAGCTTTCAAGTTTTTAGGGGAAGAATAGTTATTTTAATTAAAATGATTGTTTTTTATTTAATATTTAAATAAAAAATTCTTCTATTTTTTTCACCGTAATTTCTATCATATAATTGTTTATCCCACTATAAAATACCATAATCGAAACAATTCTAGGTGTTTAAAAAGACAAACATTTATTTACCCAAAAAAGCACAAACATTAAAGGGTCGTTTGAATGGGCTTAAAAAAAAAGTATATTTTTACAAAAACTAACATTATTTAAATTTTTAAAAAAGATTTGATTTTTGATTTTTGATTTTTTTAAAAGCTAAAATTTTTAGCTTAAAAAAAAGTATATTTTTTACTTTTTTTATGACTTATATTTTTTTTAAAAGTAAACATCTAAATAGACTTTTAAGAAATATTTTTTTTTTTTAAAAACAATTTTGAAAAAAGAAAAAAAAAAACCATCCAAATGCCCCTGATCGCTAACGGTCCATCGCGTGTATTAAACCAGGCTTTGCAAAACATACGTTACTTACAACGGGTCCACATCGAAACTGAAACCCAGCCGTTATTATTTTTTGCCTTTTGTTTTGTTTTGTTCTCTATATATATATATATATTCCTTTCCCTCCCATTTTATTTTTTTCTCTCAACTAAGAAAAAAAAAAAAAACAGACACACACATCACAATCAAAACAACTTCAAGAACCATAGTAGCTTACTTCAAAAACCACCATGCCCCTCGACTCCCCCGCCGCCACCGCCGCCGCAACCACCTCCACAGCCGCCGCATCAAGACCCATATCTTCACTCCCTCACCCGCAACAACTCCACCATTACCCATCACCTCAACAACAACAACAACAAACCCTTCCCATTCGTCCTCAAAACCCTCCTTTAACCATACCCCATGACCCATCTTACCCCTTTCTCTACCCTTTCGCCTCTACCAACCGCGGCGGAAGCTCCTTTGCCAGAGGAGTCAGACCCCTCCCTGCCGCCGATCACGCCGCCGGGTACCCACCGCCGTCCCTTGTCTATTCCCAAGGCGTTGGCGGCATTCAGTTGGACTATCTCAATCATGCCTTGAACGTGACAAGGCCACCAGCACCCTTGCAGTACTCTCCACTGGGTCCCGCTGCCCCCCCTCCCGTTAAGGGACCCCCAAAGGTTTGAACTTTGAAGCTTCTTCCTTGTTTGGAATCTTGAATTGTGTGCAATGTGTTAAGTTAACATGACATTGTTCGGTGAAGGGTAAAATGGGAAAAAAATTAGTAATTTTTCTTTTTCCTTTTTGTTTTGAGATTCTAAATCTGGTCCAATTTAAATAATTGAACAAATTGGCTTTAATGTTATGGTGAGTCCTACTGGAATATTGTGCTTTGAAAGTATTATCTTGAGTTGTGTGAAATGTGTTAAGTTAACATGGCATTGTTCAGTGAAGGTTATAAATGAAATGAAAATAAAATAAAATAAATAATTTTTCTTTTGTCCTTTTTGTTGTGAGATACTAAATCTTGTCCAATTTAAATAATTGAACAAATTGGCTTTGATATGATGGAGAACAAATTATGGTGTGTGTTGTTGTTGTCCTTTCCCATCAGGATCACTGGCTTTTTTTTTTTTTGAGCTGACATTTGGTGTGAAATTTGTTAGTTAACATGACATTCTTCAGTGAAGGGTAAAATGGGAAATAAATTAATAACTTTTCCTTGTCCTTTTTGTTCTGAGATTCTAAGTCTTGTCCAATTTAAATAATTGAACAAATTGGCTTTTGATATAATGGTGAACCCTACTGGAATATTGTGCTTTGAAAGTGTATCTTGTTGTGGTTGATGGCTTGATGTTGTTCTTTTGCCATCAGGATCACTGGCTTCTTTTGAGCTTACATTTGGTGTTGGTTGATGTATTGAGAATATTATAATGTGTTTTAAAGTGTTTCTTTCCTTTTTTTTAGGCTTCTCCTCGATCTAAGGTTTCAGATATCAGTGGCTGCAATGATACAAATACAAGGTGGATTTTTGAATGATGTGTGATTTGTATTCATTTTGGCGTTTTGCATTTTTCTTCTTTTGGTAATGGAGTTGAATTGATATCTCTTATGTGTTTCTTAGGGAAAGAAGCAAAGATGATAATTTTTGTATTATCAGAGACAGAAAAGTGAGTCCAAATTCTCTTATTTCACATCCTTTGAGTTGAATATATCTTACAGTAGAGCTCTTAATGATTTCATCCACATTTAATTTGCGACTATACTATGCTCTGCCTCTCTGTGTGCGTGTCATGACCTCCTGTGGCTCTGAAGTCTCAATAGATTGCAAGTGCTTGTTTGAATTATTCATCTCTTGCACTGTATATCCTTGTCACGCCTAACCATATCTATATTACTGTCTACTAATCTTATTTTGACTTCTTGTTTTAATTTCTTTTTTAAGTTAAACTTGTCTTTTTAAACTTGTCTTTTTAAACTTTTAGTGGGTATGATCCATGTACCGTAAGCCTCCATTAAGCTGATGGCCTTCCATTCTTTTCTTCTTTGTAAAATTAAATAATCTGTTTTCTTATGTGTAGCATTAAAAAGTAAAAAGCATATAATAGAACTTAGTGGCAGCAAAGGAAGTTTCATTATTAGCCCAAAGGACTCCCACCAAAGTAAAATAATATTCTACTATCTACATGTATTTGGCACATACGATTCTTTCCTTCTTTTCTATATCTCTGTTCTTTCATTAGTTTCATTATTTAGCCTTGTATGCATTACATATGTTGGAAATGTTTTAAATAGGTTGATAATAATGTGAGGGATGAAGTCCCACATTGTTAAATTATTATTTTGTATTTCTTATAGTCAGATTATTTAATAGAGCCTCCGCTGATGAGAGGCAATTTTGTTCAATGTCCTGGTGGAAGAACTGGCCACATGTGATAAAATCCATCCAGAAACCATGTTGTCACTTCAGTTTCCAATGTCTCATGCTGACCCTCTGGCAACTGTCTCGGCTGCCAGCTACTATTTGTCATTGCCTGAAAAATTTTTCGTTGAGATTTTTGGTTCTTTTTCAATGCTAGCATCTCATTGAGGGGACAAATTTATCCCAATTGCGATTTGACCATGTTGGTCTTTGTCCCAGTTGCAATATGGTCTAGTCGGAATTTTTTCCACTTACAGTCTTGCACCGGATGTTGTCCTAATTGCATCTTGGCTTGTCAGTCCTATCCCAAATGTAGTTGGGCCCTTGATAGAGATCAACAATACTGTTATGAAAGTACCTTGAGAAATATTAATGCAACTCAGTAGTTCAAGTTTACTGGACAATTACAATAACAGAGACATGTATTCCTATGAGACCTTACAATGACATTAACAAAAAAAGCAAATAGACTAACGATGATAACTCTAGAGCATTCGAGAGGCTCTAGTCTCTCCCAATTCTCATCCAATTCTAGATCCAAGATGATCCTTCCCTTTCCCACATGATCCCCTTATATCTCTCACCTTTCCTTACTCACCCACTAACTGTATTCTGTTCAGCAACTGAAACCATGCGTGAACCTCCTCCCTCTAACTACTTCCTTGCTGACTCCGCCTGTTCCATTTGGGCCTTGAACCTTCTACATGAGTATACCTACTGAGTTGGGCCTGTATCAATACTCCCCCCCAATTTAAGGACCTTGTCCTCAAGGTCAAAGGTTGGAAACTGCTTTTGCATAGCAGCGAACTACTCCCATGTGTTCTCGAAAGACGGAAGGTGTCGCCACTTGACAAGTACCTCCAAAGCTCCTCTGATAGATGTCTCCGTTGCACCACCTCCTGTGGTTCCACACAAAGTTCCCATTCTGCAGTAAGTTGGTCGGGAAGTGGCTGTGCCATTGCTGGAACAACAACGGCTTTTTTTAGTAAAGAAGCATGGAACATCGGATGTATTTTGCAAGAATCCAGTAACGCCAATTTATAAGTAGAAGCACCAATCCTTTCTAAAATTGGATATGGGCTATAAAAACGGGATCTTAACTTCTCATTTACCCGTTTGGTCAGAGATTTCAGCCTATAAGGTTGCATACGGAGGTACACCAAATCCCCCACAGTAAATTCCACGTCCCTCCTGAGTTTATTAGCTTGAGCTTTCATTCTGTCCTAAGCTAACACCAGGTTGTGCTTGAGATCAACAATGATCACATCCCTCTCCTGAAGCCATCGGTTTTTTTAATCAATGAGTGAAGAGGACTGATCTGCCCGAATTAATGGGGGTGGGTCACAACCATATAGAGCCTTAAAAGGAGTCATACATGTAGAGTCTTTAAATGTGGTGTTGTACTAAAATTCAGCCCAGTGTAACCACCTCATCCAAGTCTTCGGTTTGGGACTGCACAAACAGCGTAGGTAAACCTCCAAGCTTTGATTCACGACCTCCGTTTGGCCATTGGGCTGCGGATGATATGCTGTGTTATACTGCAGCCCAAAATGAACTAAGAAACACCTTATCCCGATCTGAGACAATGGATTGGGGAAACCCATGTAATTTGACCACCTCCTTAAGAAATACTTCTGCCACGTCAATAGTTGAAAACGGATGACTAAGGGGAATAAAATGTGCGTACTTGGACAATCTGTCCACCACTACAACTATAGTATCTTTCCCCATAGACTTGGGTAAACCCCCCACAAAGTCCATGGAGATGTCAGCCCAAACAGTGGAAGGAATTGGCAACAGTTGGATTAGTCCGGCAGGAGAGAGATTTTGCACCTTGTGTTGCTGACATACAGAACAGGCTGCCACATACCTCTGAATATCCCTTTTCATCCCCTCCCATGACATGACTCCAGCAATCCTTTTGAAGGTGCGAAAATAACTGGAGTGATCGCCAAGACATGAATTATGAAATTCCTTCAAGATGCTAGGAATTAAATTGGACGTCTTAGGAATGACCAGCTATCCCTTAAAGAACAACCTACCCCCTTTCAATTCGAAACCTGGTTGGGCTGTCGGATTTACCAGAAGATCCTGTACAACCAAACGAAGATTTGGATCAACTTGCACCTCTTGCTCCAAATCAGCTAAGTAAGAAGGTTGAACTTAAGACAAAGCCATAAACGACTTACTCCTAGACAGGGCGTGCACCACCACATTTTCTTTACCCGGCTGATACTGTATTTCGAAGTCAAAACCAAACAATTTAGAGCACCATTTCTGCTCCTCCTCGGCCCCTTTATTGCTTTTAGGACAAGTCAGTCAACCATAGCCCGCACCTTTTGTGGGTCTGCCATCACCCCTTTTGCTGAAATCACATGCCCTAAATACTCGATCTATTCCAGCCCAAAACTACATTTCTTCTGGTTTAGCCTTCAATTGGTTATTTCTCAACGCCTCCAAAACCCTTCGTAAATGCCCCAAATGTTGTCCTTTATCTTGATTTTAGACCAGAATGTCGTCCAATAAAACCAGCTCAAATTTTCGCAGGAACGGACACAATACCTCATTCATTAATGCATGAAAGGAAGATGGCGCGTTGGTCAACCCAAAGGGCATGACTAGGTATTCATAATGTGGCCTTCGCGAGTACGGAATGCCGTCTTGGGAATGTCTTCCTCCCTCATCCAGATTTGGTGGTAACTGGACTTCAAATCCAGCTTAGAGAAAACCTGAGAGTCCCCCACCTTATCCAGCAACTCCTCGATTAAGGCATGAGAAACTTATTAGGAATTATCAACCTGTTGATGGCCCTATAATCGACACATACGCGCCAACTTCCATTTTGAAAGCCAATCTAAACCGAGGACAACATCCAACCCTGCTAAGTCAAATAGATACAACATCCAACCCTATTACCTTTACTCGCCTCGATCGATTTAGAATTAGGGTAAGCCACATTGGAATAGGCTGATTGGGCCCCTTTTGGAACAGATTGGATAGTTCCAGTCGAAATGGGCCTATTTTTTCACCTTGGCCTAAACGCTGCTTGCAAACCTGACAACCCTTGGGCCTAAACGATGATGTTCGCACAACTTCCCACCCTTCTTCCATCAATGCTGAGTTTGGTCTTTCGATCTTCAAGGACATTTTCATCATGTCCGCCAGCCTTAACGTCGGGTTCATCAACAATTCTTCTCGGATGCTGGCCTTGATCCCATTGAGCCAAGCGCTTTTCAGCAACTCTTTGTCTTCGAACCTCAATGCACCCACCACTCTTTCAAATTCGACTCTGAACTCCACCATTGACCCAGTTTGCTTAAGATTGTACAGGGATCTATGAGGGTTCTCCAAGGCGTCTTCTGGCTAGAACCTGCTTATCAAATCTCGTCGAAACATTCCCCAATCGGCATTTGTGGTGTTAATATCCCACCTCTGGAACCAATTCAAGGCTGTCCAATACAACCAACACCGCTGGTAGCTTGTCTTCCTCAGCAACACCGTTGACAACGAAGTATCTTTCATCACGGTTTAGCCAACTGTAAGCGTCTTGCCCGGAAAAAATGGGGACCTCTAATCGTCTCAGGCCCCTCTCCATCTGATTATGACGTTGAACCCATCGGTCCACTGATCCCTCATCGTTCAATTCCCGTTGTGACCAATTCTGCCACCCGTTGAGCCAAATTCTCAAGCTGGAGAATTTCAGTTTGGCCCTTCTCCGTTGTGCCCAGTCTCCTTAACACCTCCTGATGACTCTCCTCCATCGTTTCTTAGCGGTTCTCCATTTCTCACGTAGATACCATCTATAGCTCTGATACCAACTTGATAGGGGTCAACAAAACTGTTATGAAAGTACCTCGAGAAACAATATATTAATGCAAATCAGCAGTAGAAGTTTACTGGACAATTACAATAACAAAGACAAGTATTCCTATGAGACCTTTCAATGACAGTAGCGAAAAGAAAATTACAGTAAAGCAAGTAGACAATAACGATGATAACTCTAGAGCATTCGAGAGGCTCTAGTCTCTCCCAATTCCCATCCAATTCCAGATCCAATCCCTCCCTTTCCCACGTGATCCCTTTATATCCCACCTTTTCTTACTCACCCACTAATTGTATTCTGTTTAGCAACTGAAACCATGTGTGAACCTCCTCCCTCTAACGACTTCCTTGCTGACTCAGCCTGTTCCATTTGGGCCTTGACCTTCTACGTGAGTATACCTGTTGAGTTGGGCTTGTATCATCAACCAAACAATTCCAGAGACACTCAAGAACAGTATATTGAAATGAACAAATCGATACAAGTTCAGTGCAACTATTACAATAACAGAGAGATTATGTTGCTATGGAAATTACAATAACAGTAAAGGAAGAGACAATTAACAAAGACAATTACAGAAATGGAAAAGATACGATAACAATGATAGACAATAACAATGATAGTTCTAGAGCAATTCGAGAGGCCCTAGTCTCTCCCAAGTTCCGGCCCAATGCCAAGATCCAAGATGATCCCTCATGCTTCTCATTCCCTCCTCTTATTCAGCTAACTTTCCCGCCTCTTCCTCAACAGTTTTCAGTTGCATACCCGTACTAGAACCTTCCTTCCCTAACATACTCTCAGCTAGCTGATTCAGTAGCTGGACTTGCTTGGGCTTAGGCCCTATTTCTGCTGCGCATGTATACCCTAGGATATGGGCCGTATCAGTCCCATTGGTTTGTGTCCCATGTGTAGCCTGGACCCATAGGTCCTTGTCCCAGATATGCACTCTAGCCCTGGTCTTTCTCCCAAATCATATTGGTGGTTATTTTTCATTTTTGAAGTTTTATTTGCAACAAGTCTAAAAGTTTAGTTAGCTTTAGCTTGAGGGGAAGTGTTGGAAATATTATAAATAGATTGATAATACTGTGAGGGATGAAGTCCCATATTGTTAAATTATTGTTATGTTATTGTTATATCTATATAATAGAGCCTCTATTGTGCTATTGAGACGCACATATTTCAACATATGTGTCTGTCATTTCCTTATTATTTAATAACATATATATGATTCAATATGATTTGCTATTTGCCTCCGTTGTTCATCGAAATTTGATAAGATAACTAGCTATGTAAGGATTACTTTTATTTCATTTCATTCTACTTATTGTTTCTTAAAATAATTTGTAATGTTCAATAGAGGAGTTTTGTTAAATTGATGCATAACTCTGCAAAAACTTAGGGAAGTGAGATGAAGAAGATAAGAAGAAGACAAGTTAAGGAGAAAAGTGACAGACAGGTAAAAAGAAGCAGGAATTGGGAGCATATTAGACCAAGATATCAATAATTTACTTTTTAGCCTGGGCTGAAACTAGAGTGCAAGTTAACAATAACATTACAATGGGACTAGTAATAAAGGGTCTAAGAATCCTAATTTCTGTAGACAGAGAATTTCCCAATTATATACAACCTTAACAGTTTTGTGACTAAATATAAAGCCCAATGGATAAGTAATTTTTAATAAAATATAGAGCAATGATTTTAGTTGGAAAATTTTCCTGTATTGTTGGTTATGACTATGAGTTAGTACCTTGAGCCAAAATCTTAGCTTTATTGGGTGGTATTTTTCCTTTTTGTTGTGGTAATAATGCTATATTTCAATTTTTTAGGTCCAATTAACAAAGGATGCTTCTCTGTATGCACTTTGTAGATCATGGTTGAGAAATGGTATAAATGAAGAAATCCAGGTTTGAGTTATATATTGGTACTTCCTTTTTAAGAATTTGGAATCTGCTTCTGAGAAGCATGCAATGATGACTTACTAAATATTCATTCTTCTCTGTGTCTAGTTTGATGTTATTTACTTCAAAACTTTGAGGAAATGATGTTAATTGCATGTATGCCCATTTTTTCGTCTCTTAGTTTTTCTTTTCTTAGAATGGAAAAATACATGGTTTTATTCGGAAGCCTAACATAAGATTATTGGGGATGATCTATTTGCTTTGTGTTTTCTTAACAATGTTATTGGAAAGTTTATCTCTATAATTTTCTTCCAACTGGTCTTCTCAAAATTGGCTACAAATAATATGGCAATTATGCTTTGTTCCTTTGCAATTTTCCCATAGTACAGAGTTTAAGGATTAGGATGTTATGATCAATAACTTGCTTTTGGAGGATGAATATTTTATATGCGTCTGTTTTTTGTTCCTGATGTGTTGTTTATTGTCTTGTGCTTCACTGTACTTGACAGCCACAGAAGAAAGATGTAATGAAGGCACTTCCCAAACCATCGCCTCCATCTATGGAGGCTAGTTATATGTCAAATGAGAATGAAGATGAAAATGATGAAGATGAGCAGGAGGAGGTTGGGTTTCTGGTTAACTGCTTATATTATAAAGCAATCAACTAATTTGTGAAAGTGAAATCTTTTTTTAATGGAAAATAGCCATTTCTTTGACACAAGTTGTGTTGTTGAGTAAGTTTTATAGGATAGTGCAGTGCTCATGCATATTTTTTTTTTTTTGAGTAATGCTTCTGTTGAAATTAGAGTTCCTTCACTTCAATTCCATGTCAAGACTTTGATCCTATTAATCCAAATTTGCTGAGTTATACTCATCTCTGATTCCAGAATGAGAAGCCTGTTGAGGAAATATCACCAGAAGATCTATTGATGAGACATATTAAACGTGCCAAAAGGGTTAGAGCAAGGTAAGTTTTGTTTTTTTAACCCTCCCTTTCACCTTTTGGTTTATTTATTCATCATCTACTTATGGCTTTGGTTAGAACATTGCATATAGTGCATTATAAGTTGTAACATATTGTTATCTACTGAAGGTTGTCGATGAACCATACAGGTTACGTGAAATTGTGAATCCAAATTATAGCAATTGTAAATCATTCTAATTCTTGAGTTTAAAATTCGGCTCAAGATCTTAAAAGGTCCATGTTGATTGATATAAAAGTCAATGCCATTTAGTTGCTTTTGTAATAACTAAAACTCATAGCATATGAACTTTGCTAGGAAACTGGAAACCCAGACTGAAGAAATACTTTAATTACTTAAATATGACGAATATTTGCTAAAAGCCTTTGGTTTTCCAATTTCTATAATATGTCTGCAGTTTGAATATTATTCTTATGGGATTTCCTGCACTTTGCATATTTATCACCTTATAAACATTATTGTATTTATGTAAATGTGTCTATTTGTATACATTATTTGTAAGTTCTATGTACATAAATATAAGAGAACACCTCATGAATGTAATTCTGAATTCTGAAAATAATAATTCATCACTCCATCGGTATGGAGCTTTGTTTTTCTCATTGCCAAAGCATTAAATACAACATATTGCTTTTTCTTCTCTTTAATTGCGAATCTCTCTAAGTTCCATTATAAAAAAGAAGCAACAAAGGCCACAATTAAGTAAACTTTGTGATGATTTCCTCTTTTACCTTTGATGACATACATTATAGGGACTTCTTGCCACTTGATATTGATCCTATAGTATTTATTCACTCGCACTAGAATCCTTTAAATTTGGCGCTTCAATACCGTGCACTTGTTTATCACAATCCTAGTTGCAATATCGAATTGGTTTTAACGTATGAAACTTCTTTATACTATCATCAAGTTTGGCTGTTACAATTTCTACCTAGGAAGTTTAACTCTTTTAATCATGTGCGCTCACACATCATCGAATAATGGTGCAAAAAAAATTTATGCTAATATTGGTTCAAATTTAAATCCTATTGAAATATATTTTTATTTTCTTCAAGCATATGCGTTTTTTCATTGTGAAATTATGTGAATTTGTTCCCTTCTCTGTTTTCTCTAAATCAATCTATATTTGGACTTGTATAGCCTTTCATATGGCATGATGTCGAAACATCTTGTAAATTGGAATTACGCCTCTTATGTTAACTTATTTTTGTCATAATATTTAATTGAAATATTGAAACAGATTGTTTTTCAAGGATATGCATATTTTGTGTGCTTCATTTTCAATCCTGCATTAGAGCAATGACTCCCATTTTATTTTTCTGTTAGAATGCTTAGTTTGAACCTTTGGGTTGAGTGTGGAAAATTTTAAAAACTTTTATGGTTTTGGAAAGCATGCATGCAGCCTCATAATTTTTTAAGGATAAACCCTACTTCAGGATGAAATAAACATCATATATTAACAATGTTATAATTACTGTTCTATGCTGCTTGTAGATTAAGGGAAGAACGGTCACAACGTATCGATAGGTACAAAGCTAGGCTTGGGCTTTTGCTTAATTCACCCGGTGAACCGTCTGGAAATGACACAACTGCTGGGAACTCACCTTGGTGACTCTACATACATCAGGTTTATTGGATGACACTCTAACAGGCTTTGTAATTCATTTAATAAGATGCTTGTAGTTCCTTGAAAACCAAGATATGTTCCTCATTGTAGCGAATGTAAAAGTCTTAATCAGAAAGTGGATGTAGAATTTTCAGCTCTTCTATAGAATTTGTACAAGGGCTTGTCTTTGACCTGTAAATCGGTACTAGCTAGGGTTTGAATGAGTAGCTATGAATCAGAAATTACTGTCTTGTTATTCTTTCTTGAGAGTTGACACGAATACGATGACCAACTCATTTGATGTCCTTTCCCCCTGTGTATATGTGTGTGTTTTACACCTGGCTAAAATTACAATTTTAATTTTGGCGGTTGATTTGACTTATATCCAACAATTTTAATTTATTGGATTATATGAGCTTAAGTAGGGATGTAAATAGGTTAGGTTAGGCTAGACTTTGGCTTAAATAGGTCAGGCCTGTGTAAAAAATATTGTGTTTGGCCTCTCTTATTAGCTTGTGTAGACCTTAAATTACAAGTCTGGTCTGACCTATATTTAAAAAATCAAAGCCTTGGCCTAGGCCTGTTAGCCTGTTTAAGCTTATTAAATATTCAACAATTAAAAAAATAACTAAAATAATATTACTTTATTATTCAAATTTATTAAAATAATAATTTTATAAATAATATGACATAGGCTGGCCTGTAGACTTATAGGCCCGACACGTACAAAAAAAGCCTATGATCTGTTTTTTAAATAGATTTTTTTATAAATCTATTTTATTACTTGTAATGGTCAAGACTGGCTTAATATAGGTTAGGCCGTAGGTTTCTGTAGTCCGGTCTAATTCATTTACATTCTTTTTTTTTGTAAATATCCATTTACATTCTTAGATGTAAGAGAATCAATAGTTAAAATTGGTATAAGACTTTTTTGTAAGTGGATCTCACATATATATATATATATATATATATATATATATATATATATATATATATGAGACAGGATCCTTTGACACCGGTGTCAAAAAAAAAAGTTTGACACCGGATCTGAGAGCCGTTAGATTAAAAAAAATCAACGATTCTGATTTGTAAGCATGTTACACCATTGATTTTTTGTAATCTAACGGCTCTTAGATGAGGTGTCACTTTTCCTTTGACACCGGTGTCAAAGGATCCTGCCTCTATATATATATATATATATATATATATATATATATATATATATATGGATTAATTATTTGTCATGTCACTTGACCGTCTTGTCATAAAAAATTACATCATTTTGGATATATATATTTTTTATTTAATTGATTAAAAATGGATAAACTATGTCAAGTGACTTGATATCCGATTAACCCATCCACCTGTGTCGGTTTTGGGTACCGGTACCTTTTTGTTGAAGGTCGTCACAGGTTTTCTTGTGAGTATACCATGGGTTACTTATATATTGTGAGTATGAAAAAGAAAGGGAGTTTATTTTTTTGTTGTTGGGGGTATTCACAATCTATTCAGGGGAAGCATTTACATTTAAACTTGGGCTTCTAACCCTTCAATGATTTGGTCACTTTTTTATGGTCGATTTATCTGATACGGGTTTTAAAGTTAAAATAATAATAAAAAAAAACTTTTACAGCTATCCATCCTTTCTTTGTTCGTGGAAGCGTAAAGCTCTAATGCTAAGGAGGAGCTCTAATCTAGGGTCTAATGCCTGTTCAAATTATATTGGCATCCAAGTCATAAGTTTCTAATAATCATCTTTTCCCTGGGAATACCGTAATTGAATTGTTCTCTTTGAAATAAATAATATTGCTTAAAAAGATATATAATTTTGACATTTAAAATTAAAATAACAAATAGGTTAAATCTGTTTTGAGTATAATCTAATAACACATTCACCCTAATCACTTTACGAATAAGAGACACCTGCACTTCTGTTTTAATTGATGCGCGTAAAAGGAAATTGACTCATCGTAGTTGTTTGAACTTGTTGCAATATAATGAGCTTGACAAATCAAACACGTTCTCAAACGCAAACCTTTATAATGGCTTTAAAAGAAAAAAAAAATGTTGAAGTCATTGCATATGGAATCTGAATCGGGCTCCTTTTTTGCACCCATAAAGCCTCAAATTGTGGAGGTTGAGATAAGTATGGAAAATCAATTCTCATCATTGACAATTAACAAATCCCACTTATATGTTAATGTTTACACTAGTAATCAAAGACTAAGTTTCACCGTGACTCAGCAATTTCTCAACCTTAGCGTGATTGGTCAAATTTTTGTTGGGAATGGAGGATTTGCCAACAAAACCATAATTATATGGATCAATTTCAAGTGTTGGACTTGCAGTCAGGAACCCCAAAAATGAATATCTTATTAGAGAAAAAGTGGTGGAGGTGGATACGTATGTGTAGAGAGTATCAAGAAAAGTAGGATGCGAAGTTTCATTAGGCAAAGAAGAGAGCACATACGCACACCGCCACTACCACCCCCACCAAAGACTTCATCCTAATACTAATAAACATTTCCATGCTTTGGTCATGATTGATATAATTATTATACTAATCATATACACAATGACACCGTCAATATACAACCACTACCATTTGAATTTTGATTGTCTGCTTCGATCCAATTTACACTCAGAACCATTGTCTTTTCCTTTTGATGTTTTCCTCTAAATTCAGCAGATAAGAATGAGATTTGAAAGGTTTCACAAAGTCAAAAAGTCTTTTTTTTTTTTTTTTTAATTTTGAATTTTCCATATCTCAATACTTGGTGTTTAGGATTTGTGAACTGGTAATCTCTACGGAGGAGACAACTATAGACGGTGAATGTTTACACAACCGCATATGATATCCGATCACCGTACACCCAGAGTCTGTACTAAAAATATTAGGGTTTCAAGAAAATTATAGCTTAACCTTTTATTTATAAAATAAGACCTATTCTCCAAAACTGGTCGGGCCATTATATGAGTCCATGGCACTTGGCTTTTCATTCTTTTATGTTTAAATTCTACATTATCCTTAATCCTACTTCAATTGATATAATATAAAATATGATTAATTTAATAAATTTAAAATTACTTCAGATAACTTTATCTAATATTTACGCAAAAAAATATGTGGGATTCATATCAACCCATATAAAGAGAAAAAAAAATATAAACTCCATACACTTATATATATATATATATATATATATATATATTTTGATAAATATTAAATAAAATTATTTAAAATAATTTGAGAAACTTTAAACTCTTAATATAATTATAAAATGATTCCATATTGTAATCGATTAGTCATACTTTATGTCACATCATATAAAGATACAGTGCCACTTAGGGGTATCAGATACCGAAATATGTTGTCCAATTACCCTTCTTCAAGTATATCATTGCTACTTGCGTGTTGAAGATGGCAGCCCCATATATCATTTCATGGAGTTTGGTACCATATTACACACGCATCATCGCGTCATTTTGTTTTTGGTTGTATTCTAGTATGTTCTAATAGTGATGCTATTAATTGATTATTATTTCTTATTAAGAATGTTGAAAACATTCAGAACTCCAAGCCACACTAATTCAAAAGGTCATGATTGAATACAATGGCGTTGTTCAAATTAGATAACCATGCAACAGTTTTTAAATCAAGCGATTGATTATAATATCCAATGTGTTTAACAAGGAAAAATGAAGCTCACTTAAGATATTAAGCTCCATTATTGATGGTTGCTTAAATTAGAAAGGTAAAATGTCCAACATGGTGGTGGGGGCTTATATATATAAATATATGGATAACATCATTTGATATCGATGTCAAATTAAAAAGTTTGACACTAAATTTTAACTATTGATTTTTGTCAATCTGACGATTTTAATTTATTAGAAATTAATAATTAATTAATAAGTGTGACATAATAAATTATGACCGTTAGATTCATGGAAATCAACGGTTAAGATTTGATGTCAAATTAAAGAGTTTAACACCAGTGTCAAACGATCCTGTCATATATATATATATATATATGTATATAGGGTCCATCTAGTGTCCAATCACTAAATATAAGATTTTGTCCAGTCACTGCATTATAACTATGTATTCTCGAGAACACATAGCTATAATATTAAAGTTGTATTTTTTTTCACTTTCCACGTCATCAAACAAGTTTATGAAGAGAGAGAGAAAAAAAAAGAGTTCAACTTTAATATTATAACTATATATTTCAGGGAATACGTAGTTATAATGCGGTAATTGGACAAAGCCTAATATCCAGTAACTGGAAACCCAATTTCCCCATATATAAGAGAATAAAAAATGCACAAAAACCCAATTTTTCTAATATATTGAGAATAAAAAATCTTAATTCTCTCTCAATTATTTATCTTCGTGTATTTGACACTATAATTTATTAAATTATATTTATTAATTAATTATTAATTCTTAATAAGTTACTACCACCAAATGCACAAAAATTAACGATTGAAATAGAGAATAAAACTTTTTATTCTTATACAGGAGTTAAGAGATTCTAGTGAACCAATATGTTTAGTGAAAGATAAACATGTAAAATATGGAATTTTATTAGTGAAATATAGAAAAACTCTCATAATGCATGTACAATCTAAAAAATGTGTAGTGAAAGTGGAAATACTCTTGGGGGTTAGATCGTGATTAGGCGTGGTTGTTCATCTTAATTACTCAAAGCTCAGGAGTCTGAATCAATGCGTTGAGGTGAAACAACGATTGACGTTACTGTTTTGGAGTTTATCTCCAAAATTATTAGGTGACTAATTGTGAGGAGTTTAGGTGATTTATAAGATGTTATAACTTAATTTAAATAAATGCAGGATATTATAACATTTATAAGATCTTATAAAGATCTCTATGTTGTTCATATACCTAAAAGAATATTTTTATATTCCACCAACTAAGGTAGCCAAAAGAAGTTGTTGCGAGAGAAATCAATGAAACTTCGTTGATCTCAAGTATTACACGGAAATCTCAATCTCTTTTTGAAAAGAACATGACATATCATCATGGGCATATAATCTTGCATGTCTTATTAAAAAGATTAATGCAAGATTATGTATAAGCTCATGTTATCACATTTGTTGACTAGCGCTGTAACCTCGTCTAATTCTATAATAATATAGAAGAAACTGAGTATAACATATGATATAATTAAAAATATGCTAATAATGGCGGTAAAAAA